GCCATGTGGATCTCCTCCGAGGCAGGCGGAGATTGAACCCATGAGGAAGTGGTTCAAGCTCCTTAGTGCTGTGCTTTAACCAGCTGCACCACCAGGGAGGGCCAGGACAATTTACATTTTAAAAGACAAGTAATGCCAAGTCTCAGTCACTTGGCAGGCTCATGTCTAAGTAAGGATGTGTGGTCATCCCCAGCTATGCAACACAGAACAACATATATTTTCCAAGACTTCCCTTTAGAAGACATCAATGGTAGCATACCATTTAGTTATTATATAATTACTAGTTATCATTACCATTATTATCACTATGTTGTTGAAGAAATAAAATAAGCAATCCATGTGAAAATGCTTAGCATTAAATTGGAGTCTATATATGTTATAAAGAGTGCTCACTGGTGGGCTGGTTGGTCAATTACCCTGGCTGACTGAGAGTTCTGGTAGATACTCACAGCAATGATTTTAGGTTGAGATTGATGCAGAGTTGCTTTTCAGAAAATAAGAACTGGTTGTTCTTCTGCCTGTTTCATTCTACTAACCAACAAGAATAGCTTCCCTATTATGTCTCACTTGCTATTTTGTGCTAAGAACAGAATGCATCCCTACTCTAAACATTGAAACTTAGCCTATTTTGATGGCTCCTGTGGTTTCTAATGCCTCTGGAATTTTTATTGTTCTTAATTTCAAAGTTGCTTTCAGCAGCTTGCTGTGTTAACCCTTTCTCTTATATATGTACCAAGAGGACGCAAACACTTCCCCTCTTGTGCTTTCTTGCTTACACTTGGGCCTGACAAGTACATGATGGGACTAGATGGAAGAAGTCTAGGGAGGGAAGAAATGGGCGTCAGACCATTCTATCACCCTATCAGGCCATTTCAAGTCCTCTGGAATAAGGAAAGGCAAAGCAAACAAAGCAAGGACATGAAATACTTACAGTACTAAAATAGTGTATGTAGCAAGAGTAGTTTATTGCCATATAATAACAATTATGTAACTACTAACTGAGAGTTACTGGAATGAGATTTCAAGTCTTCTGATTCCCAGTTGTGGTACTAAATGCTTGGAGGATTTCATTATTTGTAATTTTCACAACCCTGTTTTGTTGACAAGGAAATCAAAACTAAAGAGAGTTGGGGTGACTGTCCCAAGCAAATAAATTATCTTAATTTACTTAGATATGACTAAAAGTAATAAGCCCAGAGCTTATGTAAATAAATTAGATAAAAGAACCTGGATATATTTGACGTCAAAACATATTCACCATTCCATATTTTGTTTGTGCAACTTCTACTTCCTGCACTGATTGAGCAAGTTTGTAAAATAAAATATAAATACTTCTTGCAAACTACAATACACATTTTCCTGGGAATTTAAATGTGACATCAAGTTTTGTGTATTATTTTAAGAATCAACTTCCTTTGTATCAGCAGTTTCTTGTTTTCTCGTAACTTACTAACTGGTTATGAGAAAATGCGACTTTCATTTTTAACCCTACGTTTAAAATTTATTTTTAATTTGTGCACTTAATTTTTAAGTATTTTTGAGTTGTATACTTTGTTACTTTTCATATTTTTCAACTCTTACTTACTTATATTATTTTATAGTTGGGAGTCACATCACAGCAATCACCACCATTCTCAGAGCTCATTATTTTTTTAAAGACATTTTTCTGTCTACAGCTTCTAATAATTTGGCATCTTGTCCTTTCCCTACTCCTACCCATTGGGTCTACAAAGGTATTTATTTACATACTTTTATGTTATCCAGGAATGGCTGAAAATAAACTTTTCTTTTACCAAATCTACCTTTTTGCTGACAGAAATTTGGTATTAGATACAAATGCCTTTCAGTCTCAGAAGTCATAATCCTGAGTCTCGACTTCCCTTAACGTATGAGAAGACCCCAAACCTCGTCCCCTGGTGTTTACAATGCCACACTCAGATGCACATGCACAGAGTATCCTGCCCGGGCTCCTTCATAGGAACAGGAGAAGTTCACAGTCCTTACAGGAAATCCTTGGGGATTTAATCCAATAAACCCCTAAATGTTTTGGACATGAGCGTCTGTGTATTATCTATTCCCTTATAGCTCAAACAGAGTCTTTTGGAAGAACATCATAGTAAAATACACTGTACTTCTGCACCAAAAATGAGCAAATGTTCACCATTGGTGGGGTAATTAATGCACATTAGTGGTCTTAAATGGAAGTTGGGAAAAAAAAAATCTTAGGTTTTTTTTTTGTATTTTGCATTTACAGATACAAGTGTGTGGTTTTCATGAGTGGCATTCAACTTGAAATCACAACGCTTTATGTTCAGACCAATTTCAGTGTGATATGATGGTTTTCTTACCTCAGCTGGTTTTCCATAGTGTCTTTATTATTCACTTGGACCAATGGAACTCGAGCAAATTTCTTATTATTATCTGCTGGGATTTTGCATTCCATCCCCCTATAATAATCTTGAAGGAGTACCTTTGTATCTTGGAAACGGTTCAGCTCCGCCTATAATAGCAAATATCAGTATTAATTCCCAAGAACAAGCTGATGTATACATATTTTCCTTATAAGCTCTGTAAACACTGTTTGCAAACTCTTAAGTTGAAATCAATTTCCTGAAAATGAAGAAAGAGCACAGGCTACAAATGTATATCTAGATTTTCATTACAATTAAACTGGTGACAGTGCATCTTTGTACTTATTGATTGTAACTCCATTTGGGGTGGCATTGCTGTGCCTCTTGATATTGTGACAAAAGTCACAGTAGGCAGGATGTCTGAAGTGTTACATATTCGTTGCTTTGACATTAAGAAATTTTCCTGTCTCCTGTATTCAATGAACCAATATATGAACAAACATTTGATTATCATTTGAGATGTTAGTTGATTTAGGAGACACCAAGCCTAGGAGACATACAAAATACAAGTAGAATAATCTGAAATACAAAATAAAACTAGCGCCCCGCCCTTTAGTGTTACTTAACTCAGAGAAAGAAAAAATGTCAAATGGTAAAGTTAAGTGAATATGAATATTTGCTAAAATGAACAACAATGTGAGCAGATATATAACTTAATAAAAAATATATTAAATGTCAACCTAATACAACTAAAAAAAATGAATAGTTCTCGTTTTGCAGTTTCCATTCTTGCTCAATAAATAGGTAGCGAGATCACCCCTCGGCTCATGGGTGCTGGATGAAAATGGTGCAACACGGAGTTGCTGGTGGCGAGTTGAGCGTCAGCGACTCACGAGTTCTCCTGGCCAGTCCAGGTCGTTTCCTGACATAGTGACGAAATGCACTCCAGGTGAGGCCTCCTGAGAACTGAATGCCTGCGAGGAGACCAGGCACTTTCTAATTTGTTCTCCCAGTAGCTCCCATGTGAGTGGCACGTGTCTGCTTTTCTTTGGTAGGGTAAACATAACCTCTGGATGTTGCTTTAGTGAGCTGGCTACTTAACCAATACCTGAGGTCCAAACATGGGCTCTCTCAAGCAATGTATTGCAGCACATTCGGTGAATTGTAGAAAGTTTCTTTTTAAAATGAACAAAACTGACCTATTGCTCAAAGCCTGTAGCTGAACCTACCCCACGGTATTTAGGGAGGAATTCTTAGATTTGTCAATCAATTAATGCTGCCATTTATTACATTAAACATCAGAAATAGTTTTGTACTGCTATATTCATAACTTAGAACAAATTAATACTTGTAGTCTAAGAAAAAGGACAAGGACAATGTTTATAAATTTGCTTGTGAGACAGAAAAGAGTAAGCGACATTTTGCTATCCAAGAGTTGTCTCTGCATTACTCAACCTTTAAACTAAATGAGTGAAATAGCAATAAATTAATTTGGTTAATGTGAATCTCTATTACTATTCATATATTTATAGCATAAGGCATGTTTTAAATACTCTCCTTAGGTTCTAAGCGTAAAAATATATTTAAGTAATTTTTCAAATTAGCATGTTAAAATGATTAGGAAAACAAACCTTTCTGTTTTTCTAGATGAGCAACCAAACTGAGTTTTAAAATATTACCTCCTTTTCTCCTAGTTGGTGTTAGATGTGATTTCTGTTTCTCAAGGACAGAGCCTTAAGACCAGATGATACAGGGAACTTTGTCATTTTCAAAAGAGGCATATATTGCAAGGATTAAAGAGACCGAGTACAAAATGCTCTATGGCCTTTGCCTTCATGCTTGGACTTCAGCTGCTTCTGCCAGAAGCTTTTGACACACATTTGCCTACAGCCAATCTCGCTTGTCCAAATCGGTGTCCTAGAGATTCCCAAAGCTGGCTCTGGACGTCTCATTTCAGACCTTTGCACAACCCAGGCCTTGAAGGTCCTGTACTGTCCAGAACTAGCAGTCAGGGAGGCTGCTCCTCTCAATTTCTACTGACCACTCAGGCCTCCCATACCAACACACCCCTGCACTGAATCTGTCCCTTTGAATGCCGGAAGTGCTAGTATCCATGTTCGCTTGTCCAGGAAGTTTTCCTGAGCATCTCTACTACACTAGCTATAGCGTCTGTCAGTAAAATATTCTCATCACCCGCAGTATCTCCTCACATAATACTCAGTGGGTAGTGCAAACACATACCCTCCCCTTTCGCTATGCTCACAGATTCTCTTAGGAAAAAAATTCTCAGATAAACATGACTTAACCCATGCATCCTTCACACCCTTCTCAGCTTGGCTGTCCATTAGTCTTCCTCCACATGCTAGGTTCCTGATCTCCCTTTTTAGAGCATATACTTAGAAAACTTATTGTAAGCCTTCTCTTTTCCCCTTTGAGAAGTGAATCTTTTGAAAATCCCCTTGTCAGATTTAGAACCCAGAGTTGTCTTTCTCAAGGATCTGGGCACCATATCTTTGAAATGTCTGCAGCAAAAAAAAAAAGCACCCTTGTTCCTGGGGAGGGGAAGAGCCTAACTCAGAGGAGGCTGCCTTGCTCTGAGAGGTAAACTACCTCCTTCAGGAAGACAGGAGAAGGCCAATTAGCAAACACTGGGGACCATAACCCCCAGACACCCCAACTCTTAAAGTCTCTTTAGCCCTGTTCTTGACCCAGCTGGATATCTAGATTGGCCTGTGTTCTCTTCCATATTGTTGGCAATAGTCTTAGAATAAAATCAACATCTGTCATTTTATCTTGCCCAGAGCAATCTTTTATTCAACAGGATGCAAATATAGATACCAGGTCTGCTGTCATTTCCAGACTCTGGACCACTTGGAAGCAAAACTATTGAGGGGTGCTTGGGACGCCTCCAGTTCTCCATTGGCTTGCTGTGAGTGAACATTACTCACTTTGGCCAACTTCCTCTGCAAGCTGGTGCTCAGGCCAGACAGAGCTGTAAGCAAATTGAGCACTGAGGCAGGCCTGATTTTCCTAAAGGCACTGGGGCTGGAGGGAATTGGCTGAGGAGGAAATAGTGTGTGTCACCTTGACCTGCTGCTCTTACCTGCATCAGTGTGAAGAAATGGTTCATTGTTATTCCGATCAAGTCCTGTAACCAGCTCTCATTAATGATGTCCAGACGCTCTTGCTCTGCCTCTTCCTTCCGGGCATCACAGATGTCCCAAAGGCGGTCTCGTAAATCCTGAACAGAAAGAAACGTTGCTATTATGCACTAGAATCAAGGCTCAAATTACTACAGTGTGAGAAAACGAAAATCTTTAGCCTGTCTTAAAAGTCCTAGTAATATCCAAGTCGCCAGAACGCCGTCCCTTAATTTCAGGAGCTTCCTACTTGTTTTATCAGCAGGTTTCCCAGCTGCTTTTATTCCTCTATAGACTCTCAGAATCAGAAGCCAACGGGGTCTCCCTGGTGGGGCAATGGGTTAAAGCGCGGCTCTATGAAGCTATCCTCAGCCACATCAGCTTGAACTCAGTCCCTGGCCAGGGAGGAGACCCACATGGGACAGTAGACCTCTTCTGTCTCACCCACTGCTCCTCTCAGCAGTGTATTTCAGTGGAGTTGCCTGTTTTGCTCTGTCTCTGGTGAACCCCCTCCACCACCCCACACTTCTGGTCTGTACCCCAGTTCTTGTATACATAAACAAATAAACCTTTTTTTAAAAAAGGAAGCCAAGCTCTAATTCAAATCATTACCATTATTCTAATAATGACCAACCAAGACCTGAGATCCCCAGGTCCTCTCAAGACCTTGCTCACTGCATCCCCAACCACTCTGGCCCATGCTCCTCTGTGCCAGCCACAGCTTGCTGGTCCTCAAGCACACCTAGCATCCTCCACCTTTGGTACCTTCATCTTTACTTTCCGCTGAGGCTGATACACTCTCTCCCCAAATAGCTAAATGCTTCATTTCTGTGCTGAAATGAACATTTTCAACAGCCAGCATCTAGGAAGTAGCATATCAATGTTCCTTTTCTCTCTGCCCTATTTTCTTATTCTTCACATAGATCTTATTAACAACGATGTGCTCATGGTATAGTTATTTATTGCTTACTCTCTGGCCACCAAAATGCAAACATTTACAGGATATTGCTTCACCATTGACTCCCGAGCCCCTCAAGTAGTTCTAAGGCCATGAAGGAGATTCAGTAAATATTTAAAGATAGATGGATCGGTGGTGGGATAGAGGTCAGCCATGGTGTAGTTGTGCATGCAAATATTATCAGGTCTAACTGTTGGAAGCCGATACTAAGGTACTGACAAAGAAAATGACTCATCTGCCAGGATAGGGGCTCTTAAATTTACACAGGAAAGACAGAGCATAAGAGTTTGAAATCAAGATTCTTAAATATCAGAGGTCCTGTCCTAAAGCATCAGGATAATGTATTATTCCACTCTGCTCATCTACCATGTGTCACGTGTTGTGCTGGTGGGAGATGCGAAGATCTATAAATACTTGGTCCCCTCCCTTAAAGCATCTGTTCAATAGAGGCCACCATGTGGCTTTTCCATGAAGTGCTCTATTTTCCCTAATCCTGGCATCAACCAATCAAAGAACTGAATTTAAGGAAGACTTGTACTTAACACCAGACACAGACCGTCACAAGGCTCAACAGTGGGGTGAGGTATCTACAAAAATGATGACAAGGACACTCTTGCATACTGGTTTATATTTTCTTTCTGGAAGCTTTAGCCACTATTTTCTCATTCTGAACTTGAGCCCTTCAAAAGCCATCAGTCTGGAAACTGGCCATTAAGGTTCAAGCCATTTCCTTCCTTATCCTCACACCTCGTGCAATAAGGAGGAAATCAGTGAGGGTTTTGCAGTCCAAGATGGGCATGAAGAACCCCTACGCCCACTGGTGATGGGCTCTTACGTTCACTCTTTGATGTAGCTCAGCCTTTGTTTCCTCATCATCCCACAGGTCATCAGGAAGAGAGTTGAAATCTGCCTGCCACTGCGACACAAAATCTTGCTTGTGATCAGGACGCCTCAGAAACTGTTCGAAACTTGTTCTGAAAGGCAGTAAGGGAACAAGGTGGAACTTCCATGTCATGCCTGTGAGCAGAAAATGCTAACTTTGGAGAACTGACTTACCTGGCCTCATACAGGTGAGTGACCACAGTATGTTGGTCTTCTCTCAGATGCCTGAGTGCTCTTTTGATGGTGTTTATGTAAGAATTTTCAATTAAATCCCAATAAGATACTAAATAAGAAGGTATTTCCTATTAAATAGCAAAACATAAGAATCACTATTTCAAGATGAAAATTCTTCTGAACAGGTGAGTCAAAAGACTGATACTAAGCAAGAAAATCAAAATGCAACTGCAATTACTGAAACATCAGAAGCCTTTCCTAAAGCACTGTGGTGATATACTCCATTTATGATTTACAAAAGTCTGTGGAACTTATTATGTCTCCCTTCTTTCCACTCCCCTTAGTTATTCTATTCTGAACAATTCTTTATACATAAGTTCAGACTTCCTTTCTTCTAGAAACCCCTCCTTGGTCCTAAGCCAATGAATCACCCTCTAAGGGTCTACCACAGCCCCTCTACTGCTTCCCCAAAGCTCAATGATGATGTTCATTGATTCACTCACTTATTTTTCTCTGTTATCTCTAGAATATCAGTCTCATAGGCCAGCAGCAATGGTTGTCTTGCTTTACAGCTTTTATTTGAACTATTATAGTATCTGAGACATGGTCAGAGCTCAAGAAATATTTCTTAAGTGGGTACACTGAATTACCACAGATGTCACATGTCACCTACAGGACATACCTCACATGGAAACTTCCTAGTGTTCACATCAGAATGCTAATGACTTATTTCTCTGAACTCACCCACGAGGTTTAGTCTTTGTTGTGTGCTCCTTGAAAAGGAAAATATTTCTTTGTATCTTATCTTTCATGATGGCCATAAGCAATCTATACCAATAAATAATTCAAATGAAGTCAAAGTGAAGATACAGATGTATCAATATAAAGTTGCTGTGCTAATTATTTCCTTATTGGCTGTGCATTTGTTTAATTAGGGCATCGCACATGGTATGAGGTTATCTGGACTAATTTCATTTCTAGCAGACAAAAGCCAAATATTTGACCTACATTATCTAAACTTTTTAGGGTCCTCACTCATGCGCTAACCGCAACAGTTTAAGACAGTTCCCTCTAATGTCACACAACACAATTACTGGAAAATTCTTTCTTGTCCTGAGCAGAAATTACCTTTCTATCATTTCCTCTTATCAGCTATAGCTGTCCCCTTTGTTATGTGCGCTGTCTTCCCTAGGGCAGTTTGCCAAATATTTGAAGACAGGCATATCAGTGAAGAGTGCAAAACTGGGATTCAGGATGAAACTTGCTTGTTTCTGTATTTCCAGTATCCAGGACAGCATTTGCATAGAAAGTGTTCAATATATGCTAATATAAAATAAGTAGACTCACCAGAACCCTGTTTTATCATCAGTTTAATTTTTAGAAGACTGGGTAATTCCATCTAGTTCTAAAAGCCTATGATTCTTTGTCTAATCACATGTCAAGTATTCTTTAATCTAAATTAAACATTATAGTTTCATTAAGACACCTTTCACATATCTTAATTTACTTTTATTACTAAGCTCTTCCCTCTGGCTTCTAGTTTGTTGAGATCTCTTTGAAGCTGGGATATATCCAGAGTAGTGTGAAAGACCATTTTTAAATAAGCCTACAATGAAACCTCCCTCTTTTTATGAACACTCTGGACTCAACGGAAATAACAGCCTGCTCTCATTTATCTACAAGAACTTCATGGAAAATTGTCAAATACAGGACTTAGTGAACCCAGTGTTATTCTGGGTGATCATTTCTGTGAGCGTTTTTAAGTCATGTATTCAATAATTTTCTCTTGAATTTTGTCAGGTCTTAAAGCAGAGATTATTGGTCTGTATGTTACTAAATGTCTTCTGTCTGTTGTTAAACAGTTAGGCATTTGTCTACATCTGATCTTCCAGAAACTTCCTTACCCTCTGTGATCTCTATGAGTCATTGCTACTGTCCTATTTGTAGATCTTTCCTGTCTCTGGTGTGTAATTTTTTCCAGGGTACTTGAATTTATGTGCCGTGCCTAGATGTTCCAATCTATTCTTTCCAATTAAATAGTCTCCCCCCCACCAACTGGAGAAGTCTGTGTAGAGAGGAATTCTGTACCCAAGGCATATTCTCCAAATCTTCTGGAAACTGGAGAGGAGAGCCCTCTTTACTTTGACTGCCCTCCCTGGTTCTCTCTGTACTTTTCCTTGCAGTTGGTTAAACTTGGATGTTGCCTCTAACCCAGAAAGCTAGATATGGAAGTAATCTCTTCTCTCTCATACCCATCACCCCCTTCTCCTTACTTGAGGTAAAGTATTGATAGACTGGAGGTCACTGGAAGAACTGGAACTAGAATACTATCAGGCTAAATGGCTGATTATCTGAAATTCATGTTTCACTGTGTCTTCCCTCTTCCTTGGGGTGGGGGGTGAGAGGTAAACTACATAGCTCATATCTAGAAAGCCTAGAGTGGGAAAAAGGAATAGAGAGAAACCTGGGACTTGTTTTATATTGATTCAAGTCTCTAGGTTACAGTTAGTTCTAGCAAAAGGTATTCTCTAAATGACTTGCTTAGTATTGTGCTTGATTTTGTTTTGAATAGTGAATTATTCTACATTCTACCCTTCCTGGGCATTTATAATTTAATTGGGGAGATAAGACACTTCCCTAAGAAAGTTCATAATAGCTATAGCAACACCACAATCATCACCACTCATGACTAGGTCTCAAATATCTGAGACAGATGGTTAGAGCTAAGAGTCCATTAGAGTAAGAAATCACAGGGGATATTGCACAAAAGGAGACAGGGATGGCATCTTTGAAAAAATTCTTTGTCTTTTTAAGTGTTTTAAAGAAAAGAGCATTCAGGGTGATTTTCCCAAGAGGTCTTATCTGTTAAAACACCCAGACTTGTCTGAGTAGTAATGGGGTTACTGGCAAATGGGGGGTTACAGCACTCTCGGGGCTTGCCTAGGTACGCCTTATCTGACACGGTGTACCCACTTACAGCTCTCACTTTCTTTTTTTATTTAGTTACAAATTTTGTCTCTTATTTCTAAAAGTCAGGTCAAACTCTATTTAAAAGCATCATGAAGTGGGCATGAGAATATGGATGTAGGCTATAATTTGCTGAATATGTGTGTTCTGGGAAAGTCATTCTTCCAGGAAGCTGCTTCTCTCATTGCTTGTCCGTGGGGAAAATGGGCCCTCGCCATTGTCCCCCTGATTTCAGTACTCAACTGCAGTTCAAAGTATGACTCACAAACTCAAGGGAGTTGAGAAAGGATGAGACAGGGTTTCAATGAGTACTATCAAAAAACACCACAGCTTTTTGATGAGAACACATTATCAGCTAGGAGAGGTCTTCTGGATGGTGCAAAAATGGTGAGTCTTACCATCAACAGGAGAAAGAATAGATTCTACTGGTTTGTGTCGACACTGCCATACCTCAGGAATTGGCTCATTCACAAAGACCCATTCTTCTGATCCTGGCTTAGGTGGAGGTGCGGCTATTGGAATAGGTGAGGTTTCTGAAGAGTCCCCAGGTGATTTCTTTACTGCTGCCTTCCCTCCTGACAATTTTCCTTTAGGAGAACCTTAAACATGCATATCAAATCATTGCATTACAAGTGGATGAATGGGACCAGATTCTGGAGAACAAATGAATTTCCAATTGCTATAGGCAATTCATTAACGATTTTTTTGGGTACTTTTAGACAATCTCATCAAATCAATGGTTAAAAACCTCATTCTCTACAGCTCCCGAAATTAACCAATAATCTCAATCACTCAGTAAGTTTTTAAAGAGCAGTCCAACTTTTCTTGTCCAATTGGCTATGAAAAGCAACATGGTGTTTTATTATCATCATCTCTGTCCTTGCTTCCACAATGAACATGTGGTTCTTAGGAAGTTTATATTTTGAGAAATGTGTGTTTCATTTATTATTGCAAAAATTGGCAAGTGAAATATTTTTAGCCCGAGTGAGAAAGAGTGATGTTCTTGGTGTTCCTTGAAGCATAGGGAGGAACAGGAGAAAGGAGGTTATTGTAAGAGTCATCCAGATTTGTGAGAGACATGAAGGAGGGGGAGCACTTTGCTCCTCAATATTCTCTCATTCCCTGTATAAGACACAGGGGGTTTCTGAGCAGAGAAACTGTATTTCTTGAAGTATGGATAAAGGTAATTGATGAGCCTTAAGCTTGACTCAGTGAGAATGAAACGAGTTAAGAAATATTTTGGAGCACTATGCTTTGACTTCATTTAACATATCTATTTTTTTTTAAAGATTTATTTATTTGTGCATACAGAACTGGGGTGCAGGCCAGAGGCACAGAGGTGGCGAGAGGATTCACCAGAGACAGAGTGGGGGGCAGAACAGGCAGATCGCCGAAGTACACTGCTGAGGGGAGCAGCGGGCAGGTCAGGAGAGGTCTGCCACGCCATGTGGTCACCTCCCGGGCGGGCGGGAATCGAACTCATGCGGAAGCGGCTTTAGATTCTCAGTGCTGTGCTTTAACCCACTGCGCCACCAGGGAGGGCCTAACATATCTAATTTTTAACCATGAAAATGTTAAAGAATCATGGTTTTAATGAAAAAAAGTATACATGTTATACAGGCTGGAAGTAGATGTCACTTTTTTTTTTTTTTTTTTGATGTCACTTTTAAGCAAATTCTTGCCACCATCTAGGGTGTGGTTTGGGGCATTCTTTTTTAGGAATCACCCCTCAAAACATATGATGACTTCCATTTGTCTTCAGTTGGTCATTCACTGAGTCATTCTTCATGGATGAAGGTTTGGAGTCATTTAAGCTTTAGAACATGGTAAAGGTAGATTTTAGTTTTTTTTTTTTTTCTTCAGTTATAAAGTCTCACAGAAGCCCATGGAGCTAGAAGAGGTACATATAAAAGAATAAGGTGAAAGGAAAATACAAGTGTAGGACACAAGATTTATTTAACTGTTATTGATAGAAGATGATTAATTAAAGTTAAAATGATAGAGCAACACTTTTGAATAAAATAAGTAACAAAGTGCAGCTCAGTAAAGATAAGAATAAACATTACCACTGATGACAGGACATTAGAAAACTAGAGCACATTCAGATTAGCACTGCATAGAGGGGTGGGAGTGGGGGTTGTAGCAACTAAGAGAAGATAAGGAAAGTCTCATTTACTGCTTTTAGGTTTTTTTTTTTTTAAAGAGAGGCATTATTATCTTTTAGTCCCAAAATATATTTTCTAGGCAGATTTGATTTAATTAAGAGCTTCATTAAGGAGAAGCCAGATTGATTGTCAGTGGCAAATTTCTATCTTGGGTTAGGCCTTGATTATTAAAAAACAACAACAACATTCTCTCCACCCCCCAAACCAAAACCGAAACCAAACGCTTCTTAACAGATAGTGCTGGTAGCTGTCTGAGTTATCAGCTGTGGCCACCAGAGGAGAATCAGGACATCTTAGGTACTAAGACACAATGAACATTTTAGTTTTGAAGCCACGTGGCAAGAAAGAGAAGGGGGAGTGTTAAGGCAGGAGTCAGAGTTGACACACGCAGTCTTGCAGTTGTTACTGCATGCTCTCCTTCCTGTAGTATCACAGAGGATAAAAGCCCATCTTGGAAATGAATCCTGGAAAAGCTTAGGTTTTGATTTCCCTGGTAGAACTATTATAGCTCCTCTTTCTGAAACTGTTGACTAAAGAAACCCATCATGCTTCCTTCTTTGCTTAGTTGTCTGGTTCTTCTGAGTGATATGAATCACTACAATAACAATTATGTCCTTTAGTTGGAAAACCAGCTCATTTAGGGATTTGACTTTTTTATTTCTATTACAATGGCATAGATATATACTTGATGTACCCATGTTTTTTACAACTCAACTCTAAGAGGTATGTTATATACAGTCTGTTAGAAACAGTTGACCATTTTTGGTGTTTCAATGGCTATAATGGAATGATAAGTCTTGGGCTCCAACACATTGAATTTCCAACTTCAGTGGTCAACAGAATCCCCTAGATGAGTTGTTAAAAAACAAATTGCTAGGCACCCTTAGGAATTACAGAGTCAGTGGTTCTGGGAAAGGGCCAAATAATAGTATTTCTAAGAAGTTGCCCAGGTGATGTGGCTGATGCTAGTCAAGAGACCATACTTCAAGAGCCACTGATCTACTAGAAGCATCTACTATTTCAGTTTCATTTCACTTTTACATTTTCCATGTCCTTCCACTTGAATGTCATTGATACTTATAACATTGACATTACATTTATTGCTAAGTGGCCTGAATTAGGAGGTGAAGCCCCAGACCACTACTAACCCTTACATATGGGCAAACCAGTGGAACTAAGGGTGACGTTACTTCTCGATTTTTATTCTACAGAACTCTACTCCTGATGGATACCCCTTCCAGTCAGGAGAATTCTGTATCTGAAACAATCTACATATTATACCTCCCACTCTATTAGAGATATATACTGATATATTTTTCAAAGTCCTATAGTTAAAAACATTTTAATTTGGCACAACTTGCTACTTATAGAGGGTTGAAAGAAGGAAGATATAAACTGTTTTAGGAAGATATAAACTGGCAAATGGGTTGGGGAAAATAAATGATTTGGGAACAAAAAGTACAACTGCAAATGGCAAGAGTCAAGACTTGGAGGGGAGGAGGCTGAGGATTGCTCTAATATGCAAAAAAGAATAGGAATGAATCAAAGAACACCAAAAGCAAGAAATGTAAGATTGAAGAAAGGAGAAAGAAGATGGTCCTTCAAGTTTAGAGATGCTTTAAATAAATTGGTATCAAATGTTTTGTGAAATAAAGAGATAATAAATCAATAGAGTCCACTCCCAATAGCATTGCTTTCAAATATTAATAATTAAACAAGAGAATAAAATGTGAAAATATAAAAACATTAAAATCATGTAACTAAAAATTTGAAAATATAAAGACGTTAAAATCATGTAACCAAAAATTGTGTAATTAAAAACTACCAAAACACCAGCATTTCTATGTAATAGAAAGACTTTTAAAATTTGAGAATTCACCTATTTTAAGTTATTACCATACACAATAGAATTTCAGTAAAGTAAAAGCAAAAACTGTTTGAAAATCACTGGTGTCGCTTAAATAGAGCTGACTGCTTAATTCGGGGTATTGTATTTGTCAGGCTGAAGTGCATACACTTTTAATGAAGGGTGTTGTTAAAGCCTGTGCATTATTATGTCTAAGTCCAATTCCTATTTTTGATGATTCCATGATCCTTCATTTGTTTTGTCAGTCACAATGAGAAAGCAAGGGAAGAATAATCTAAATGGGGAAATTATTCTGCTAGTAAACAAGTGAGAGCTAAGCTAAATTATAACCATTAACATTTTAGCTAAAATTTTTGTCTGTGCTAACTCGCCAAATGGCTCTAGTTATATAAATCCATCATGTCAGAATCAGAGAAGAGTGACATTCTCTTTCAGAATCATGGTTGTGTATCTTCAAATGCCAGAAATAGTGGGATATAGAGAAACAAAGCAAAGGAACAACCAAAAACCAACCCGAGAAATATGACCACAGAATTGAAGCTATAGAGGGGGATGGAGGAAGTTGGGACAGGGGACCCAGTGGTCTATGGTGAGAGACTGTGGGTACTTTGGTGGTGGTGTGATATGGTAACATACATCTAAGGAGTCTGAACCCATTCCCTTAAATCACGTGTCATATTGTAAACCAATATTACCACAATAATAAAAATTTAAAAATAATTCTTAGCACATCATTTTCATAAACAGTGCATACTCTCTGGCTACAAATGCTTTGGAGATTTTTAATGAAAAGTTAAGCAAAGGTATAAACTTTATGACAAAGCTTTTTGAATGTATCCTGGAAAAAGTCAACTGTATCTATTTATAATTGAATTTCAATCTTTAATTACTGGTTGCTATAGCAGCTTTGACTTTAATACAAATTTGGAGGCAGGGATTTTCTTCTACCAAATATCAATTACTTTAAGAATTATATCCCTCTTACTTTACATAAAATGGAAAAGAAAAAACATACAATGAAATTAGGATCAGAAAAGCATACAATTTAAACTAGAAGGTCAAAACTAGGGAGAAATTAAAAGGCAGAGATTAAAATCGAAGTCCTTTCACAGTTTTAAATCTGGCCCATTAATTTAATTTGGTTTCGAAACAGCTAAAATAGAAAAGGAAATGCTGTCACCTAGAGGTGCTGACGACCTACCACCCAGAAGAAGAAAGGGTTTCCTGCCTCTTGATTGCAAATAAAATTCTTTGCTTAGGACTTCACGTAGGGGCTACTGACGTAGCCACATACTGTCCCTTCGAAAAAAATAATGGAAGTTTCACATCCACTGATATGTTACGTTGTGGGCGAAATTGAGGACTTCCTCTCAAAGTTCTTAATGCTTTAAAGCCAAGTCCATGTGGGGTGAGGCCCAAGAAATATGGTGCAGTAGGTAGTTTCTAGTTTCTTGGTAAAATTTGATCCAAGAAGAACACCTATAATATCTAGGATAGGTAGATCTTTTGTATATTAGATATTTTCTAAATTATTCCTAAGTGTCACCTTTCTTGCTAAGAGCTAAGCTGCAGAAAGACTGAGGTTTTATATTCTTTGGTCAGGGCTTATGGCTTGCAAATGTTTGAGAGAAGAATTTCATGAAAACTACTATACAGATCTATTTTTACTGAGATAGTTATAAAATGCAGAATTACATTTCATTGGATCTATCTTTATCTGCAGTACCTTTTCTTTTGAGTGAAGTGTCAACTTTCTTCCCTTTTCCTTCCTGAGAAGATTCTTGTTTAGCAAGTGGGGATTCTAAACAAAATTCAACACATAAGTATCATTGATGATTTTCTTTAGTCACTTGGGCTATATCAGATTATTTCTCATGCATAAACAGTGACATTTGCCAACCACATGAAATGACTCAGGATTTTACTCTGTGTTATAACTAATCTGAAGATAAGTTGTGGATCAAAACTTCTGGACTAATAGCTTGGGTGGTATTATTTTATTTTGTCACACAGATACCTGCAGTCCTCAATTTAATAGCAAGTTTTGGCAAGATTTGATTATAAACTATTCATATAAACTATTCAGTGCAGCTATAGTTGCATAGTATTAAAAGTTAGTCACAAATGCTTTGGAAGAACATTGGCTCAGTTTGGCTTTATTTCATCTGGAATGATCCTTATACATCAAGACACTGGTTTTTGTAACAAGAATTATGCCAACACACTTGGAAGTTAAGCAACCATATTGTTTGAATATGGTGCATTCTCAAAATATGTCTTGACCACACACCTGGTTGTCCAATGACTTCTACTTTTCCATTTGGTGTTGGGTATATTTATCTTGAATTCCTTGGACTCTAGTTCAAAAATATATCAGAAGGGTAGAAGGGGAAAATGCTGCCCCAATAATAAGATAAGATATCCCAAATAATAAATTGGTCCCTTGAAAATATTCATTGCATCCTCATTATTCACCCATTAAGCTCAACCTTGGTTCTGAGCTACAATACCTTTTTTTCATTGAAAAAATGGAGTGGTTTAAATGCTTATAGTGGAGAGGCCCATTTTTAAGCACGTATAAGTGTATTTATACCCTTATATTTAAACATCTCAAATCCAACAACCAATGCTCCATAAAAATAAGACATGGAGTATTAACTTTGAAACTTTGTTAATGTCTATAAAATGATTTTCAACTTCCAAAGGTGACTACCAAACTCAAAAACCAACAAACAAGATCCAAACATTTGAATTAGTTGCTTTTTTTTTTTAAAGAAATCCTAATAATTTTAATAGCCTAAATAAGCTCTAGTTCCTTTAATAAAAATATCTGGGTAACCAACCACCTAACTAGCCCAGAATGTTAGCAGAAGGCAAGAGAGATTAGAAGGTAAAAGCAGAAACCAAATACACTCAACTTACAAAATACTTATCAATTGCTATTGGTAAATCTCATTCTTTTGGGGACAGCATGTAAAAGCACCACTTTTTAAAAATCAATTTCAAAATATGTTCTGAAATCTCATAAAATATTCTTAAGTAGCAGCCTGGACAGTCCAGTTAATATTTCATCACCCTGAGAACTTTGATTTTAAATTAAATTCTAACATTTGGTAGTAGATTGGAAAACAAAGCCTTTCATGGAACATAACTGAAGTTACTCAAATTTCATCAGCAGTACATTTGGAACAAACATAAAATGCAGAACCATTGACAACCCCAAACTATATTTGGACAAAATGACCATTAGTACTTAGTGTACTGTCTTTTTTATCCCATTTCCACTCAGAATTTTCTTTTTCTATTTTTTAAGTAATTCCCTTTTTCCTTTCATCGCAGCTTCTAAAGAAGATTGTAATTGAGTGTTTGAATTGGGAATGTCCAGAGCTCAAGACTTTCAGTTCAAAAAATACTCTCTTTTGAAGCAACTTGTGAATTACTTTCAGAAAAATAAACCAGTATGTGGAAAGGCCCTCCCTACAGTCTCCAATCGGCATCTCGTCAGTGCAAGGGCCAGTGGCCCTGTCCTATCCTGCGGAGGCCCCATGCCCTGTGCTCGCTCCAAGAAGGCCTGTGGCTGGAAGGCAGTAAGTAGGCCTCTAGAGATGGACCCCAGTATACACTGCTAAAGGTCAGGTACTAGCCCTGCACTTGGTGGAAAAAAGAGACAGGGACAAGCACTCTTTGAAGCAATGATAGTTTTATTGTCTTCCAACGCACAGTATTCAAGAATACAACTTGAAAATGGCAAACAAACCACACAGATGTAAGGACTAGCTGTGTCAGAATCGGAAGTAGTCAAGCCTGGTTTCAGGGCCAGGCTCAAGCACAGACAGACTTGCCTGGCAGCAGGCAGAGGGGAGCTGGCTCACGCAAGGCCATGCGCACCTGCACGGCTCTGAGAACTCCCTCCCAGTCCTAAACAGCACTTTAAAGATTTCCACTTTTCCTTCACACCTCCGAATTATTTTTTATTTCTTTTAATTACTCATGAGCTAGTGGGAAGAGGGTGTAAATTTAATTTATGGCTTTGTGTTTATTGTACGAGGCTAAAAATAGATTTTTTTCGAGTGTGAGTATTTTGTCTTTTATTAAACCCCATTTGACTGGGTGGAGTAAAATGATCTTTAATATACTAAAATACGTTAGTATGGCCTCCACATGTATTTGCATAATATAAACCTAATTTTAAAAGGTCATCCCTATCTCACATCTCATTGGGCAGAGAAGTGAGTCACTCAATCATGACACAATGTCAGAGTACCTAGGTAGATCTGTGTAACTGCCTCTCTGTCACATGTAAAGCTGGAACCAGAAGCTAGAGCCCCCTTCACTCCTATCCACAGCACCAGACTGATTCAGACCTTCTACCAATTATTTGCGTACGACCTCTGAGCATCTTACTTTTGCTTAAACTCATAATTACCACTGAACACTAGACACAGGCTTTAGTGGTTAAAGATCTAGAAAGAATTTAAGCTAAGAAATCTTCTCTATACAAACTCTGTATCTATTATAGATTATAAATATGTACGTTCACCCAGGAGGAGGAGCTTGTTTCTATCCTTTTAGGATCACACAGAACTGAAGATGAACATTTACATCTAAATCCTGCTCTCTGAGAAATGCTTTTAGTTTCTTCTACTTGTCAGCAATGGACTATGCTAATCCCTATTTTCTTAAGATGTTCTACACTTTCTATAAACACATATAAGTCTACAATTCAGCAAGCAAGCAGACCTCTGTCCTGTTGGTCTGCTCTAAGTCCCTCCCAGATTTCCCTGAGCCTTTCCTCAGCCCATCTGTGGGCTTCCTCTAAGTGGTAGACCTGGGTATGAGGACGCCTCAATCCGACTACTTAGCACAACACCTGGGCTTGGAGACGAGTTTGCTTTGAGCTAGGAAGGGCTTTTCCACTTCCATCTGAGCAGATACCTTTGCTTCATATGCCCAAAGTCTGAATCTAGATAAACGGACTGCACTATAATTTATAATTCTTTTCTAAGCCAAAATAAGGAACTAGCAAACAGGGTATAAATCGTTGTGTCAGTCACCTGATGGTTTTTCCTTCAGAGCAGGAGTCTTTGTTTGTGGAGGCTGAGGAGGGATTTCCTTCTCTTTTTCTGGTTCAGAAGGAGCAGAAGGAGCAGGTGGAGCCTCAGCCTGGACAACTTTCAGCTCAGCTTCCTTTTCTTCTAATTTCTTTTTAACTTCAAGAGGATGACAAGAATAGGCCTTATTAAGGAATGTAGACGTCCGCTATTTCACTTAAACTAAGATAATCTTAAATTATGCAACTTGCTTTATTGATTTTAGACTAACTTTGTATTTTAGGGCTCTTCCTTAAACCAACCAGTCCTTAAAACTAAGATTCTGGGCCCTCCCTGGTGGCACAATAGGTTGAAACTCAGCACTAAAGCTACCGAAGCCACTGCAACACAAGTTCAATCCCAGGCCAGGGGGTGACCCAAATAGCATGGCAGACCTCTCCCGACCCTCCTGCTGCTCCCCTCAGCAGATTGTATTCAGTCAATCTGCCTGTTCTGCTCCCTACTCTGTTTTTGGTGAACCCTCTCACTCTTGCATCAAAGTTCTTTATTTATAAATAAATAAATCTTAAAAACAAACAAACAAAAACAATTAAGATTCCAAGCCCTTCTGCTTGGTTAGACAAACCATTTCAACACCACATTGGTATGAGGGGTGGTACTGGGTCTGGGGATGGGGTGTGTGTATGTGTGTAGCAGGTAGAAAGGCTCATAAAGGGGTCCCAGATGTCAATGTAACAATGTACAGGTAGACAAGATAGTCGAGGAGGAAAATAAAGGATTATTTTAAAATTCCCAGTGTGAAAAAGAAAATGTAAAGAGAAGGGAGTGGAAGAAAGGCAGGCGGGGTGGGAGGAAATGGAAGGGCAGCACCGACTTCTGAGTAAACCACATGGAGCTCTTTGCAGCGTGCTTAGAGCACGGTTTGTGCAGCGCCAATTCACTGAACCTGAATCGAGCCTTAAAGAAAGGAAGAGCCAGAACAACCAGGAAAAACTACACTGTTACTGCCCAGGCTAAGATCAACATAATAAAGATCACTAAGCGCATTTGTGGTTGCCGGGGACACAACAGTTAATGAGAGAGAAAAGGCGCGCCCTGTGCAGCTGCTGTAGTGCTGGGAGGCACACACAAACACAGTGAATAATTGATACACAGAAGAGGTTGGAAGATAAATGCCGTGGAGAAAATAAACAGAAAGAGGACAGGAGTGCTTTGGCGTATTTGGTGTCTTGGCGTGCGAGCAGGGGCGTCAACTGACATGCTGACATTTGAGCAAAGACTTGTGGAGACTGGGGGTGTCTAGTGGATAGCTGAGGAAGGAATGTCTCTGGCAGAGGGCACAGGCAGCTCAGGCCCTTGGGGAAAAGCAAGCCTGGGTGTGGTTTTCTAGGTTACATTATTATTAAGGCCCTCGCTCGGTCTTTCAGGGTTCAGGCTCACACTTCCCGGATGCCCTCTTATCCCCTGGCCTTCTCAGCTCTCCAAGCTGAAATGGCCACACTTTGATTGGCTGTTCCACTGGCCATGACTGCTTGTGCCCACTTCTTTGTATAATATTTCTTGTACTCTTAGATTATTCTTTTTAATGCAGCAATGAAGGGGATCCCATTGTTTTTTTCTTCTTCTTCAAGATTTTATTTATTTATGCATACAGCAATGGGGTACAGGACAGAGGTGCAGGGGTGGCGAGAGGATTCACCAGAAACAGAATGGGAAGCAGAACAGGCAGATCAACAAAGAACACTGCTGAGGGGAGCAGCGGGTGAGACAAGAGAGATCTGCTGTGCCATGTGGGTCACCTCCGGGGCGGGATCAAACTCGCACTGAAGCAGCCACAGCCTGGCTTAGCTTCACAGTGTAGCTCCGACCCTCTGTCCCACCAGGGAGGGCTGAGGATCTCACTCTTATTAGATATTTTTCTCAAAATAAAAATTTAGTTTTTTCCAACTGTAAAATTAATACACATTTATTACTTTAAAGAACTACCAGTTTAGAAATTAAGCAGAAAGGAAATTGCTTATATCTTTTATCCTTTTCCTTCCCTCACCATCAAGTACTGCACACAGTACCAGACCATATACACACATCAACTTGTACACACACAAATTTGAAAACAAAAATAGAACTCTTTTAAATATAACCTGTTTCTTAAATATACCTTGCTACATAAGTAAGCAGTATATGATGGTTATTTTTTTTTACATCAGAATATACATAGCATTATATCATTTTTTAAAAATTTGTTAATTTGGATCACCCTGGTGAAGCAAGAGGTTAAGTCTCACCACTATGAAGCTATCAGCAGCCACTGCAGCAGGAGTTCCATCCCAGCCAGGGAGGTGAACCACAGGGCACAGCAGACCTCTCCTGTCTTACCCGCTGCTCCCCTCAGCAGTGTATCTCAGATCTGACAGTTCTGCTCCCTACACTTCCTGTGGTGAATCTCTCAATCCCCACAGCTCTGGCCCATATCCCAATTCTTATATGCACAAATAAATAAAAATAAAACTTAAAAAAAAAAACGGTTACTATCAATCAGGATATTTAATATAGAGTACTGGCTAGGTACTGCTTTGAGGATAAAATATTTATTAAAATAATTAACTTATTGGAATATAAACTTGAAATAAGTGTCAGCTGAACTTGTTAATGTAATCAGCTCTTAGAATATAAGATCTTAGATAAAAATTAAATCCAATTTTCCTTTTATTAGTTTACTCTTATGTGACATGGTGAGGATTACAAGATCACAATAAAAGCACTTTAATACACTGTTCCCTAACTGTTCATTAACATTGTCGGCAGTTGGGTGGAAGTGAAGAGTGTTCTAGTGAGTCTTACAATTGGCAAACACAAGATGATTTAAACTTGTAGAATTTTGAAGCCACAGCTTAGGATCAGTTTGGTTTTCCTACCCAACGGAGTCTATAAAACAAGCAAAGGAGATTTCCTTCCTCTTCCTCTCACCCTAATTTCTGACTATCAGATAAGTAAGTTTCTCAAATAATATACAGATTTGTTTCATTTTGTCTGAACACTTGACATTTGTGCTTTTTGGAAGCAAGCATTTGAATGTGGGGCTTGTCTTTTCTAGGCTTAACCCTATATGCTATTGTGGTGTTCATTAACTGACACATTATGTTAGTTAGGTAGGAGAACACATGATTAGGCAGGTTTAGAACATGTGTGATATTATTAACGTTGATCATTTATTTTATTACACTAAAAAACTGTAGTTGCTAATGTATCTAAGGATGATTGATAAACAAAAGGGAAAGATTGCTTTCTCAAATCACTTCTAAAAATATAAGGTCACAACTGAAGTCTGATACTGGCAGTGTCTTAATGATCCTAAGATTGCTTTCAGTAATAAATACCAATAATATGATAAAAAGGTAATAGACAATTATTACTGGTTGGGTGAAAGAGAAAGGAGGTAAGAATGGTTTCATGTGGGTGAGGTATTAGCCAGACAAAAGCTCATAAATAAGTAGTCAATAATCACTAAATTCATATTAGCACAGGAAGATTTGGAAGGAAATAAACATCCCTGAGAACAAGGAGGCTTAATTTTTAACCTAAAAGGAGAATTCACACACTGTTTGCTAATGATGATGGTTAACAGAATGAAATAATTACCTTTCTCACAACACCTTTATATTTGGCTAACTTTAAACTTTCCTCCTTTTTTTGTATGAAAACAATGCTTTCAGCAAGATGGCCTCTTTTCATTAAGATAAAGATAACTCTTTTATTAGAAACATGCAGCACAGAGCTAAAATAAGAATTGAAAAAAAAAACTTGCAGATAATATAATTCAAATAAAAAAAGAACTCTTTACAACCATGCTTTAATTTCCTCCTAAACCCATTAAAATAACACATTTTAATGACAATGTTAAAAATTATAAAGAAATATAATTACCTCTATTCACTTTTTTCACTGTTTCAGTCATAAACATTTCTTTTACTTTTTGGTATAAAGACTCTTTATCTACTTCAGCATTGATTTTTATCAAAATATTTTCTGGCTCTGAGAACCATTTCTCTAATGAAGGCCAGTTGTCCAAGAAGCCTATAATTCTGCAAAGTGAAAAATACTTTATAAATATATACTGATTCAAATATTTGAGTAACCTTAAGCATATTTTATCTGACATACAGAATGAATAAAAAAGTTCCCAGTATAAAAAGCAAACTGGAAATCTACAGGCATTGGAATATTACTCACCTTAAAGAAAAAATTACGTAATGCCATCCAGACATAATTCTTGAGATATTTGAAAGTGTAAAAGATATGATTAATATCATATCAGGAAACCTTTAGTGTAAGTTCATTCCTTTTGTGAAAATCTAAGGAAATATAACCTAAGCTCAAAAGAATAACTCTAAGCATGTTTCTACAGATATTGAAGAGATACTTGAATAAGGTTATATGGCTCAGATATATTTGCTTTATACAAAAATCTTTTTGAAATTATTCTGCAGACCTTCTTATCTTCCCTGAGAGAAGGTAGGCTTAATTGGGACTCAAATTACTCTTACCTGGATTACTTCATATTTTTAACTTCTCAAGCTTTCATTAAATTGTCTAATCTTATCTAAATTTTCTTTTTTCAATGAACAAATATAACCAACAGAATGGGGGAGTTTTTAAGTATAATTTTAAAACTGTACCATTAGAGTTCTATTCCATAGTCTCATGCCTAACTCTTTAAGATCAACAACTTCCATTGACATTTGTTGAATGAGGGCTGAATTTGGATTCCATGTGATGCTCTTGTATGTCCATGTAGCCATGAGGCAGGAAATACCTGATTTAGTCCTTCTCTTCACAGACTATGATGGCTTGTGCTCTGAATATGAAAGCTAGCATATAACCATTTCACTCAATGTCAAAGCTACTTTCTTTTGTTTTTCCTGTAAAAGACTGAGTGCTAAGAAATACATTTTTTTTTCTAGATCTGATGATTCCAAAGTGACTAATCATTAGTCTGTTCAGTGGGCAAGAAAGAAGACAGACACTGCATTTTAAACTAACCTATGCTGTATTTGGGCTCTTAAATTCTCATCTTCATCTGTATTTTCACTTTCAGCAGCTACACGTTGATAGATATCTTCATGAGCAGTCTCATTTAAAAATGTTTCAGCTAGGATAAGAAAATTAATTAATTAGATCATGTGCTAAACCAAGCCGAAGTTGCAAAGTATCAGCATTGCTCAAAAGTGCTGATACTAGAAAGTCCAATAATTCTGGTCCTGCAGGTGGTTGAACATTACTTAAAATATTTGAACAACATATTTCCAAAATGTGGTTTTGGTATCTCAGAATTCAAATTTTCCTTGGACATTAGGATAAATGAGGAAAACCCTAATTTTAAAGAGGAACAATAGTGCTAATGTAGAGGACTTCAGGCTTGAAAGAGGTGGGGCTGAAAAGAAGGTAGTGATCATGAGTAACTGGTAAAAAACTGGAAAGCCAACACAATGATGTAAAAGTTAAGAGTGACATAAAAGGGGCTCTCCCTGGTGGCCCAATGGGCTAAAGCACTGAGTTAACAAGCTCTCAGAAGCCACCTCAGCATGGGTTCCCCAGTCAGGGAGCAGACCCACATGACGCACCAGACCTCTCCTGACCCACCTGCTGCTCCCCTCAGCAGTGTATTTTGTCAGCCACTCTGTCTCTGGTGAATCCTCTCACCCACCACAAATCTGGCCTGTACCCCACTTCTGTAAGCATGAATAAATAAATCTTAAAAAAAAAAGTGACATAATAGGCAGGTCCTGAAATTAACAATGCATAAAAATTATTTATAGATATAATGGAAAGTTTATTCTACATATATATAGAATAGGATATACAAAGAAAAATATAACAGAATATTTTTTCTTTGTAATAGTATTATTGAGGATCATTTTTCTTTCTGGTCTTTGTGATCTTTCCTTGTAGAACAAGCATACAGGAATCAACCACAAGAGAACAAACACAAACACAAAATCTCAAGAGCTCTGATTGAAGCCTATTTTGGAATAATGGTACAAAGTCCAGAATACTCCTGACCTTAAAAGCAAATGGAAAATCATAAAGAGGAAAGAAAGCCTTGAACTAGATTAAAAAGAATTAGAATTAGGCAGTCAATGCAAGAGAACATTGAAGTGTGAATTAATAGTATTAAAAAAATGAAGGACTCTCTCAGGATAGAGTAATCAATTGTTCTCCATTTACATTTATGATAGAAAAAGAGAAAATGGATTTAAAACATAGAATGATGCTTTTAGGTTATTTATGAAACCCAAAGTTACTGACATCAGAATGGGTAATTGAAGAAGATAGTGGGTGCTCTTCTTGGGAGAGACTGCATGCACCTTCTTGGGCACGCTAGCTCATACCGATCACGAGCTTCCGCACAGAAGGAGACGCGGCTCTCTCTCAGGCTCCACTCGGACTCCGGCCCCTCCTCCCTCTCTCTCCTCTTTTGCTACGCAACCACGGCCACGTAAGGGATTTTGTGATCACCCAGAGTGGACTCCACCCTGCAAGGCTGCAAGACTTTAAGATTATACTTAGACTGACAAACATCTCTGATGAAAAATATATAATCTTGTGGCAGGTGAGTTTACTAATTCCTTGGGTTTAGTATCTCAGTTTTAATATCATTCAGTGACTTCATATAAAGTCCTTCCTATAGATTCACCTCTTTCTAACATAAGGAGAGGAAATTAATTTAACTTCCCATCATAAAATCACCATGGCTTTCCTTTCTTCCAGAGAAGCTTCTTGAGAGTTATGGCCAAACTCCTCATGTCGTTACCATCATCAGTGATGTCAAGACCAATGGACAGGTTTCAGTCCTTACCTTACTCAATTTCTCTGCAGCATCTGTTGAAGAGGCTTAGCACACAACTCTTGAATGTTTTTACTTGTATTACATGAATTTATATTCACAGTGAAACTTGTAAAGTAGGATTGATATTCCATAGTTAGCCCCAAGTTGTATATGTGGCAGAGATTAAGTGTATGGGGCAGCGAAGGATTTGATTCCTGTCAATTTGATTCAAGACAGATTCTGGTCTTCTTTTCAGTTTCTAAACTGTTTATTGACTTTTATCTGCTTAAAAGAATGTATACACTGTGCTGTGAAGCATTATGAGAAAAGAAACAGTTTTCCTATAACAATACAATGCAATGATGTGCCTTTAGCCAGATCAGACACCTCATACCTTGCAAAAATGTGTACTTTTACTTACAAGTATTTTAATTTGTGGGGAAAGCAGTATTTTTGTTTGATGATGAAAGCAATGAAATAAATGATGAATTCTGGCAAGGATATTCAGTCCCACCGTGTGAGGACTTGCTCTTCAAAGTTACTACAATCCAAGAGTAGAGATTACTTGTTTGTTGCACAACTGCAGTTTACATGGTTATGGCTTTACTAGGGTGCTAGACAATTATGACAAGCTCCTTTAGGTAGGTCCTTCCTCTGAGTCAGGGGAGATGTCAAGCTGATGAAGGGTTCGGTGAGATGCTTGCAGTGGGCATGGAATTCTTCACCAGCGCCAGTTATGGCCTGCAGTGGCTAGCACTGATAGCCGAAGCAGAAGCCAACTGTGATCTGCTATATAATTCACTGGAAGGTTGAATTATTATTATCCATTTAGAACTATAAATGGGAATATTCACCAATTCAAAAAAAAAGCCATAAAGAACTTTGAATTATAGTAATAGATTATCAAGAAAAGGAAAGAAAGGAATTCAGCTTACCCATGATGTCACTCATGCGATTCAGTGAGGAGTTATCTGAAATATCTAATAATGCAACAAAATCAAATGCAGAAGGAGGAACAGGAACTTCTTTGGAAACTGTAGTGTCAATGGCCAAGGTGGGTGTTTGTGCTTTCGAGCCTTCCAGTTCTAGGAGGCTTCTGTTGTAGCCTGTGAGAACTTCCTCTAGGAGCTTGGCTTGGTTCAGGGTCATAGGGAAGCCATCCAGGATCCAGCCTTGATCCACAGGTATATTTCTAAATGAAGGGCATTTGGAAGAAGACAAACTTAATATTTTGATAGACACAAGTACTTTGGATATAGCCTACAACTTTGACTTTTCTTTTCAATTCTACAAAACCTCCTCCTGCATGAATTTTATTACTTCGCAATTAAAATCAGTTACTGATGCCCACACTCACTCACTTCTTGCTTAAAAATTCTTCTGTAGGTCTGTACTGTCCAAATCTACTCTGGCGGCCTTCATTTGATCATTTGGTATTTAAAACCTACAGGCCACAACTTCCTCCCCTGTAATGACTTATTTCTCATGATTGTGAACTATCTCCTTCAACAAACTGATATCCTGACTGTTTTGGGAGCATGCACTGCACCTTACAGCTTGTGTTCACAGATTATTGCTCCTCTGAATCTGCACCATCGTCTACAAGCAGAATAACATCACATCTGTCACAGGGTGCTCGTTGGATGAACAGAATGGATGCATTTTAAGGACCTAGCACATTGTGGGTATTCACATCCCCAACCTGCAGACTCCCCACTCAGTCCAGCATGGAGCCCTGCGGCCTGATCTGGGCTCTGGCTCCTATTCACTTGGCCCCACCACTACAAGATCATACTTCTTGATATGGAAAAATTGTGGTGCGACTTTTTTTTTTTAAAGATTTATTTATTTGTGCATACAGAACTGGGGTACAGGCCAGAGGAGCAGGGGCAGTGAGAGGATTCACCAGAGACAGAGTGGGGAGCAGAACAGGCAGATCAACAAAGTACACTGCCGAGGGGAGCAGCAGGTGGGTCAGGAGAGGTCTGCCGTGCCTTGTGGGTCACCTCCAGGGTGGGGATCGAACTAGAACTGAAGTGGCTGTGGCTCGCTTGCAGTGAGTGCTGCCTCCTAACCTGTTGCACCACCAGAAAGGGCTCAATAGTGCAACTTCTTATGCTCATTTAGATTCAAGTTACTGCAGACTTAGCGCCATTACTTTGGTCTGCTCTTATGATTTGCACGCAGGGCAACTTCCACTATAAAGAATGGCCACTCTAAGAATCATTATCTTAGCTCTAATTTACAGTGGAAAAACAACTCGGTAAGAACATAGGCTCTGTCTTTGCTCTTCTGAGCTCTAAAGTTATGCACAACTAAGATGTTAGTTTTTGTACTGAAAGGTATGAAGGCTACAAGGTCCTATAATAGTCTTATTTTTTTCTTTTTCATTTTTCCCCATTACCACCCCTTCTATCACTTTGGCCGTTTCTTCTTGGCCCTCTTTCCTGACCTCAGAAATCTCACTTTGCTTATTACATTTTACAGTTTTTATAACTATTTTGATTTGCTGCACCGTCTACCATGTAGCTACCCAATATTTATTTCTGTCCTTCTGATTTGTTTTATTATACCTAACTACTTTCATTTTGCTGTCAATGGCAGCATTTTTTCTTTCTAAAAGTTAGGACTTTCTTTCTGAGTAAGGATGTGGGTCTCTGCTGGAGGATGTGGCAAGACAGGATGAGGCGGCGACTGCATTTCAGAGAGGCTTCATTACTTGCTTGGCCACAGCTGCAAATGACCCAAATCCAGCGATCTTTTCACACTATCAGACAAACATCGCTTCCACCTCTTTAGTCTATGAAACATAGGGAAAGGCCACAGTTTTCTTGAAATACCTTGTCCAGAACTTGGCAAAGCATTCTGTGTAGAATAGGTTTGATGATTACTCAGATGGGGAAGAGGAGTTTCTCCCAAAGAGTGTGGGCAACCTCTCCTGCCACCCCAGTCTCAGGTGCTACTTCAGAGGGTGATTTGTGCCAGGGAAGAACAGCAGGCAATGGGAGTGAGGAGACTTGGCCTTCGACTCTGGCTAGACGCTAGCCTGATACCAATTGCACTGCCTTAGTAAACCCTGTGTGCCTTCCCTTTCTCATTGAAAGAAGATGGATTTGTATTACATGAAAGGATTTCCAAAGGAAACTTTTGGATTCTTTTTGTCATCTTTCTCAGTTTTACTTCTTTATGATACAGGTCCATTGAACCCCTACAGCGCCTTTCAATTTGTCCCTTTTCTGAACTACAAAGGACGCTTGAAGAGAAGCTTTCATCCTTAGAAAGGAGGAAGGGAGAGATTATAAAATTATAACCTGCTTGGTTTTTTCCTTGCCTGTGGGTCTTGGGGGCTGTGGGAGGATAATGGAATGCTGAGGGTGGGGTGTAGACCTTCCAGTGAAAGCAAAGCTAAGACTTGCTTTATATCTGATGCTTTGCGTATCAGTTTCTTCCAACGAGGAGCCCCATGGCTAACACAGGTTTTATGTCAGTTCTGAGAAATGTTACACTAGAAGAATGAGATTCCTTCCAGCTCTGTGGGCTGATTTCTTTAGTGTTACACTCAAAAGAGCAATTGTCCAGGACACATCACAACTGAGAGCGGCTTAAATCTTTAATGAGCCCTCTTAAGAAACACCAAGGTGGAATCTATTCTGGTGCATAATATAATTCATCTAAAGCATCCTTTCCTCACCTGCAGGCCTTAGCATTTCTCACCCTGTACAGCTACCCCAATTCTATTTCCTCATCGTGTCTAAACTTCCAAACCTTTGTCACAGGAAACTTTTAAATTCTTTTTTCCATGTTGTTTAGTCTTCTTTATTATATAGACCTATCAAGCCCCTAGAGCATCTTTCTATTACTCCCTTTTCTGGATGGCTAAGGAGAAGCTTTCATCCTTAGAAAGGAGGAAGGGAGAGATTATAAAATTATAACCTGTTTGACTTTTCCGCTTTCTGCTTTATTACATATCAGTTCAATGCTATGCATGTAATTCTTGCCTGTGCAACCTCCATTTTCTCACCGATTCCCTACCCAGCACTGCTAAGCCTTTGGACCGCTGGCTGACCCCCTCTTCCTGCAACAGAAGATGGGGAAGGACATTGGCCCATGACCACAGTTAGGGTCTCTCCCATCCATAATCTGTCCTTTTCTCTTCCAAGTATCTGATCTCTCCTTGAATTACCCACATAGGATAGAACCTGACCTGAACTCACAACTGGGTAGATAAAGTCAACGTTGTTACAAGTGTGTGTGTGTGTCAGTGTGTAAACTACAGACATCAAATCAAAAAATAAATGTTAACCTTGCTGGCTGTACATGTTCTTACATAGATGAACTGCATTCATTAGATATTAAAACTAAAAAATAGTTCTAAATTATTCTTCATATGATAACATTTTTTGACCTGATAAAGAATATATGAGATATATACAAGAACATATAAAGACCATATGAGACATATACCAAAAAGAGAAAAGTAATACATACTTGATAGCATTTACCATGATGCTAATTAGCAATGTATCAGGGATGCTCTTTCCTTTCTTCAGCAATTTTTCTGATTTTGCACCAAGCTGAGCACGCAGAGTGAGCTGTGAATGTAAACAATAGTGAAAGCCAGATTCCAAATATTTGGAGGGGGAACAAAAAAAGGAGCTGTTCATGTACTGGAGAAAACACTAAGCATTTAACACAATTCTTAAGTTGCCCAAGCATGGCAGGAAAATGTGTGTGAAGTTTTGAGGTTCCTTCTCTGTGACTCCCTCCTTCTCCAAGATTATTCATTTTGCCTTTAATTTAAGCAGGCCAACCATCCCCAGACTTCATCATCTAGTATCTTTTTTTTTTTAAGATTTATTTATTTATGCACACAAAATGGGTTCAGGCCAGAAGTGCAGGGGCAGTAAGAGGATTCACCAGAGACAGAGTGGGGAGCAGAACAGGCAGATTTATGAAGTACACTGCTGAGGGGAGCAGCGGGCAGGTCAGGAGAGGTCTCCCGGGCCATGTGGGTCATCCCTGGGGTGGAGATCGAACTCATGCTGCAGTGGCTTAGCTTCTCAATGCTGTGCTTTAACCTGCTGCGCCACAAGGGAGAGTCCGTCGTCTAGTATCTTTAAGTCAACATGATTGAGGTTTCCACTCAAGCTCTGCCACTGTGCCCAGCAAGTGGGGCGAGTGCTGGGCTGGGGGAGCTGGACAGACACCAGTCTTGCCCAGGAAAGTTCTGCCCATGGTAAGATTCCATCCATTTTCTAACTGGTGTTTTTCTGCTTGTGTGTCTGCTGCTTTGTTTTTTTGGCCACCTGTGTTTGGTCCTCAAATAATTAGCTTTCTATTTTGTCCAACATTTGTTTATATCTAGTATTATCTGTGAGAGGGAGGGCCTGTCCAGCTCAGCTACTCTAAATCCACAGGCTTTTACTAGTACGTATTCTCATCCATCAGAGTGACGACAAGTCAAGTGGCAGTACATCTCTACTCAAACCCTGTGAAGACCTCCTTCATCACACCAGTCATCCTAATCCTTGCCTCCTGGTTGAAGTGGCTCTTGCCCATCAGCTCAACTTTCGAGCCTCACCTTCACTGCTCCCACACCCAGCTCTTCTCATTGTATGACGTGCTTCCCTAGATCCAGATGGCTCAACTGCCTCTCAACCTGCCTAAATGTCACTTTCTCAAGGAGGTGTATACTGTTGAATACACAACTGTCCTGCTGCCCCTGTTCTTGACCCCCCACCACTGTGATCACCTTCCTCCATTTTTTCTTCTTCTGGTATCATCTAATAGATCATGCAAAATATTCATTTATGTGTCTATGGTTGATTTTTGTGCTTTTCCTGGTCCACTGACATACCCCAGTAATTACAGTCATGTGTCTCTTAATGGCACTCAGCCAACAATGGGCTGCATAGACCATGGGGATCCCTGAGTTACTAGTGTCATATTTAATCTTACACAGTGCATTTTACTCCACCTTTTCTATGTCTAGGTATGTTAAGATACACAAATACCATTGTTTTACCATTGTCCATAGCATTTAGTACAGTAACACTGTAAACATGTGTAAAGTCTGGAGGTAACAGGCCATCTTAACATCACTGTTGGTAAGTGGTAGAGGAGGGCACTATTGTGTGGAATTCGAGGACTTGACTAGGCTTGAACATGGATGTTTGGGGATTTGTAATGCAATCAATGTAAACCTAAAACATATACTTAGTCTTTCTGCTAAGTTATAGTTCAAACACACATCATAAAAATCATTACCACTTCCTGTAAGCCCATTTCCTTCTCCATCAGCAGCTTTGAAATTTAAAATACCATAAAATTGCTTTCAATAATGAAAGGCATAATAAAAATGATAAAAATAAAGAAAATTAAATCCCACTTGTTTAATCTGGCCATTATAGTTGATGATGAAAGGTTTCTATATATCGTACAATACTATTATCTATGGAAATATTATTTTCCAATAAAAGCAAAAGTGAACAGTTATAAACATTTTTTGGAGTTTAATAAATTCTGAGAATCAACAATAAGGTTAAGCATAAGTTCTAAAGAAAATAACAAAATAGAGAGATAAAAATATGAGCAACATGAAAGCGATAAACTAATCAAGTGGTAAAAGAAAAACCACATAAGCGTAAATTTGTTAAAGTCTAAAAAGCTGCATAGATTTAAGTTTTTACCTGGCAAAACAGAATAGCAGTTTTCACTGCTTTAGATATAAAGAACATTAGGAATACAAACTCCGATTTAGCTAACGCTTTCCATCAGATGTACTCTTCAGCCATAAGAGGAGCATACTACTATTTAGCCTGTGAGATGACACATCAAAAGACGATGAATCATGATGCATTTCAATATCATAGTAGCCAAAATTAGCTCAGAGTACTTACTTCAGATAAATTATCCCTTGACTTGACTTCTTTAGATGGTGGTGTTTTCTTTGTATAAGCACCTAGCAATAGGAAACGTGGTGAGAACAAACTCCAGTCTTCCTTACTAATAACCATACTAGTATGTGTATGTGACCATCTGTGGTTTGTGGCAGATGGGCTGATGGCTACCCTATGGCTGAGTCACTCAGAGGAACTAGCCATCGAGTAGCCACAACCCGGCTCCCCCCTACCCCCCACACTGAGGTTATGGCCCTGGCGTGGGTGCTGTCCTCTGTCCCTGTGCTTCCAGCAGGCTCTTGACTGAGGCTGCCCCTGGAAACACTCTAACACACTTTGGTTAGCTTTTCAGAAACAAGCCAAGTTTCTCACAAAAAAGTTGTAAAAAAATCATGTTAATTTATTACGCTACTCCTGCATTATCAGGTTCCAGGTATTAAAAATGTCTAAAAGTAGAAAACAATTGAAGTCAGAGGGCTTTTGAGTTAAGTGCTATGGGAAAAATAAGAGGTTTCAGAGTCCTTATAGTTGAGTGAACTTTAGCAACAAAATGTGTCATATGATACGTCAGTCAAAAGTGTCTCACGAGAAACAACTAAACTAAGGGGGTTATTTTGTCCTTTTCAAGGATGGAAAGCTTGGCTGCTCTGGGTCCCAGGAACAGGGTGACCTATATGTCCCAGCAGTGATGGCGACAGCAGACCTTAACTTTATACCAGAATCCAAGGAAACTATTGACTTCAACAAATATTCCACCAGCACAAACAGAAAAGCATTGAAGTTCTCAAGATGGTTGCCTTCAACGGTTTTGCTGAGGCATGAGGACAAAAGTTCGGACCAGAAGGAAGCTAACTTTTAAGTTTGGGGAGTGTGATTTTATTTGCTTTGCTCAAGGCTGGGAATCAACTTAGCTTTGTCTCATGTGGATTGAAGAGAACAGGCCACCCTCCCTCTACACAGTGAACAAAGTGGATCAGGCAGAGCCCCTCACTCAAAGCTGCACAGCTGAGGAAAACAATGACATACCATCTTCTCACAAAACCAGGAAGAGGGAGGACGAATCCTCCTGGCTGTTTTCATAACCCAAACAGAAACTGAGCATCTGTTTGTAGCGTGCAGACTTCCTCTGTAATTTTCATCTATCTCCTGTTTGGACAAAGGTCAGTCTTCTGTATTTATCTTGCTCTCTTGGTTACGTGACTGTGTCAACAACTATGCAAAATGCCCCTTTTTCTCCCTAAGAACGCATGTATGTGCTCATCCTGTTTGTCTGTCTGCCAGTATACTGCAAATGATGGCTGATTTGTTTTGATGTCTTACTTTTATTTTCTGTTTTGGATAAATCTTTGTTTGCAGCTGCATCAGCTGGACTTCCATTTTCCAGACCCTTTGGAAAGAAAACACATGGAGAGATTTTTACATTGTCCTACTTTAATAGCATTTCTAATTTTATCTCTAAGGGTTAATAAAAATATACTATTTATGTATAACATTACTGATACTAGGTGGAGTTGAGTGATTTCTGGAAACAAACAGAATTTGATGATAATTATAACTAACCGAAGAACTTACTAACTTGTGTGGAGTCGGTTTTTCAAGTGGCTTTCAATTATGACGTGAACTACAGCAACTACCACTTTGAAAATACAATAGAACCTGAGAAAAATCTAGAGTCTATATCTTTAGAGAACAGTTTTAGGGCTCACACTCATAGCATAAGAGAAATTAAGAAAAGAATAAACCACATACATTAGTTTTAATGTGTTGACTAAAATATGAAGAGTGCCACAATGTGGAAGAAGAGTCAGCACACAATGAAGAAGATTTTCCCTGGATTTTTTCAGAATTTATAATTAAATGGTATTTATTTTGTGGCTCATGTAAATGGTCGGTATTGGATTCTCCACTACTTTATTCAATTGCAGAGATAGCATAAGGCAGAGATTTAGAATCTGGGATCCCTATCATAGTCCAGCCACAAACTTTCTGATGCAAGCAAACTAATGAATGTTTAGGGTCTTGCCTATCTCCCTAATAAAATGAAGGGGCTAGACCACAACATGATTCATAAGAAACCACATGTTCCTATTTCTTGCCTTAGAAGCTCATGTAATGATGTAGATAAACCATACAAATGCTTCTCCCCACCTTATAGCCACCGAATTCAGATCTACTAGTCTGGACCAGAAATCTGCAAACTATGGCCCATGGGCCGAGTCTGGCTTGGTATCATTATGTGGCATAGTTCTATAAGCCTAGGGGCCAAGCTGCAGCCTCCCTCCCCCTGTTTCATGCTCCCCTAAAGCACCTATCCCTCAGCCACCGCACAGGGCCAGTGTTGGTCTCTAACTGAACACTGGGGGACTCTTAGAATCCTGGGATTTCATTCCAGGTGTGGGTGACTTGATGAACTCCCCCCAATACAACTTTCCCAAGTCCAGCTCCTTCTCCCCACTACCAGCCAGTAGCTCTTTGCTCAGGAGGGCATTTCCAACTGATGGTCAGTGGGCACAGTGCAGGCCCACCACCTTGGACCGCTCACCTTGCAAACCACCAGTGTGTATGTGTTGGGGATGGGAGGACTGAATGAGGGCTATTCACTTTTAGAGTAGAACCCACCTAATATCTTCTATTATGCCTCTTTGCCTGCAAAAACTAAAATATTTAGTGTCTGGATCTTTCCGGAAAGCTTACCAACTTCTGATCTAGAAGACTTCTTTGATTCCATTCCATCAACTCTACTACATCAGATATAGAAAATTCAATCACACTTGCCTGGCTTTCATCAGTCTCTTCCAGAACACGCAGAGAGTTTGCTTCTGTTTCTTTCTCAACAGGCTGGTTCACACTATCTCTTTCATTGTTGTGAAAGGCTTGGATAGCTTCTTGGACAAGTGTGTCAATAGTGAGTATCTGAATAGGAAAGTCTGAAGTACAAAAAATGATTTTACTAATAGAATTTTAATTAGGAAATTGACATCATTGTTTTTCTGAGCTGCTTCCACTCTGCAACACTGATTTAGAATCCCCTAACTATTGTTTGGATCAAGCTGCTTTTTATTTTCAATATGGTGGTAAAATTCACATAACATAATTTAACCGTTTTTACCCATTCTAGAAAATACCATTCATTAGCATTTAGATCATTCATAGTGTGTTCAACCATGACCACTATCAAGCTCTAGAAATTTATTTATTTATTTGTCTCCTAAAAAGAAACCCTGAACCCACCAAATAGTTACCTTCACCTCCGTACACCTGTCTCTGGCTCAACAACTAACTTGCTTTCTGTGTCTCTGTATTTGCATGTAGTGGATGTTTTGCATCAATGGAATCAGACAATATCTGACCTTTGGGATGATGCTTTCACACCTCATCCATGTTATACCGTGTGTCAATTCTTCTCTCCGCAACCCACCGTGTAACTGTCCACTGTTTGGATATAACACATTTTACTATGCATTCATCTGGTGATGGACACTGGACTATTTCTACTTTGGTTCTTACTACTAGTACTGCCATAGATATTCCTGCACAAAATTGCAGTGTATACCTGTTTTGAGTAATTTGGGATATATGACTGTGGTCAAAGAGGATTTGTTTAACTTACTGAGTAATCCCCAAACTACTTTTTATAGTGGTTGCACCATTACTGCCAGTAATGTATGAGGATTTCAACTTTTCCACACCCTCAATAACATTTGATTTTTTTTATTATTTAGCTAGACCCATTCCAGTAAAATGGAATGGTATATCATTGTCCTTTTGTCAAACAGATTTTTCAGGAGGTCTTTTTAACATCTCAATAAAGACTTCTACTTCTCTACCTTAGAGTGGTACAAGATGAACTGGTCTCAAAGCTATTTTGATTTTTCCAGTGAAAATAGTAGTTGAAAAGTATTTTTGAATAAAAACTAGTTAAAAAGATGGAAATCTGTAATTTTGCTTCTAATGGAAAGAGGTTCTACAGAAAAAGACAATCTCATTCAAGAAAGAGAAAAACAACACACGTAAAGAAAATATTTACAACTTTAAGTAGATTTCTTTTATATTTTTTGCCAAATTATTACTTTCCTACTTCATCTATTGATAAAGTAAGAACAATTGATAAGAAAAAAGCTTAAGGCATATTATTTCACTTCGTGCTATGCACCATCATTATATAGCAAGCTTGTACATGCCTAAGACTGTTCTGACTTATGTCTTTATCCTTCTAAAAGTGTCTGACTCAGGAAATAAGCAATATCATCATTCTGTTAGAAAACTTTTGAGGACAGAGTTTCCAAATATATCAGTAGATTTTTACGTAATTATTTCCATAAACATTGCCATCTATGGTTAGTGTCAAGTAAATTAAATCCAATAAATGAAATAAACCAATAAACAAAATAAAAAGTGAAACAAATTCTACCTTTTTGCAAAGACTTCAGTACAGTAGTTTTTCCACTGAATGTTTTCCCTAATAAGCACCCTGTAATACCAAATGATGGTAATTCAAGCTCTGTTGATTCAACTTGAGGAGGAAGAGATTTTTCGATTAGTCTGTGAATCACATGGCCCAATATGGAATTGTTGGAGGGTGGTAAATTATCAATCATCTCTTCTGGTAAGGCCCACTCTCCAACCATGTTCTGAATAAAGAATAATGAAACAAGGAAAATAAAAAATATTCTTAAAAATGGAATGTAATCATATAAGAAATTTGAACATTGAAACTAAATCTCAACTATGACAAATAAAAACCAATCAATACTTTAAAACTTGAGTATTGTACATAAAATAGTAACATGAATAATATTTTCATATTAGAGAACAGAAGAATGAATGTTCTACATAAAAGTGAAAAAGAATCAAACTCAATAATCAGTTTATGAACATAGCTATATTGAGTTGAGACATTCTGTGATTCAGATTAAGATTAAGACTGATTAACTGACTAAAAACAAAACAGTCTACAAACACAACAAAGAAAAAATACCTATGGCATATGTTTGACAAAGAAAATGTTAGTACATGAAAGTCTGTAAGTAATCACACACAAAAGGAAAAAAAGGCACAAAGTTTATGAATGTGAAACTCCTCAAATAGCACAAAATGCCAACGAGTTTTTGAATAAATATTCAAAAATTTTTAAAGATTTATTTATTTATTCATACAGAACTGGGGTTCATCCCAGAGGTGCAGGGGCAGTGAGAGGATTTACCAGAGACAGAGTGAGGAGAGGGACAGGCAAACTGAGGACGTACGCTGCTCCCCTCAGCAGCGGGCGGGTCAGGAGAGGTCTGCCACGCCATGTGGGTCAGCTCCAGGGTGGGATGGAACTCATGTGGAAGCGGCTTTAGCTTCTTAGTGCTGTGCTTCAACCCGCTGTGCCACCAGGGAGAGCCGAAATATTCAATTTTTAGGAAAAAATATTTAAATAAAACAGTGATGCTCCATATTTTGTCTAATACGCAAAGATTAGTTATAATTTTCACTCAATATTGGTGGGGTAGTAAATTTTACATGTTTTATTGTATTTTCTGAAATGCTAAAAGCTGCTACATGACTGTCATAGTAATAAAAATGTTTGAGACAAAAAACAGATTAGAATTAGCATTTACGTTTATAGAATGTATATTCTATAAGGCAGAGTATAATTTACATACACAAATGCTATGTCATATATAAATAAATACATGCCTATGTTCTGCATTTTCTTTTATTAGTATACTTTTCCTATCTAGTACCTGATCACAAAATGTGTGCTCACTGTCAGGTTTGAAAAATGGTGTAGTTGGTTTTCCTTGTTTGGTGCCAAAACTAATGATAACACAAGATATAATGAACTTTTGAAATAAAATAAGTAAATAAGTAAGCAAAGTATTCATAGTAAGTTTTTATTTAATATTGGTAGAATTTATCGGTGTATAAATATATACATTGCCACTACTATCTAAAGTGCCCTTTACTCATAAAGTATATTTTGTTTTAGTTTAATGCCTTTGGTTTTCTAACAATTTTCTTCATAATAACTATATGTATTTTTCAAAATTAGCCAGATACTTAATTGATTTACCTAATTATTGAATGCATTATAATTACTTGCTTCTGCTTTTGTTCACTAGAATTATTTACACTTCTAATTGGACAAATGATATTTTATGGTAATGTCATAGATGAAAAACTAACCAAATAAATCAAATCAGAGAAACTGTTATTTTAAACTAAAAGGGCTATTAATTCAAGGTCAATAAGTGGAAATTTTCTATGTTCTAATGATTTTATAACTGTCACTTAACTCATTCAAAAGGAAACTGTCTGGGACTTAAATCAGATGGCCTGAGTTAATTGTTCTGCTACTTGCTTGCTTTGTACTCCCACTGATCACTCAATCTCTCCTCTGGCAGTTATTAAATATTGAATGAAACACTGAGTGAGTAACCTACACGACCACAGACTTTAAATGACTAAAGTCATTCTCAGGCGGCTGTTGGAGGCATATAATTGTATCACCAGGAGGTTGGACAGCATCTACATCTCTGCCCTATGAAAGAAATCACACTCAGCTTGCAGCCCCAGAGGGCAGGCCAGCTCCAGAGTTCAAGCTAAAGCCCTCCCTGATTCAACTGTAGAATGTGGCGGACAATGGGATAGAATGTGAGCCATGAAGAGGACTGAATCTATACAGTTGAAATAGGACTGAGGCCTGAGTTGGCATCAGATCAAGGATTTGGTGGATTACACTTGTATCGAATCACTTAAAAAAATATAATCAATGAGATTCCTAAGTCAAAGACCAAGGATAAAGGGTAAGTCAATGGGAACATCTCAGACTGGTGGGGATAAGGACCTAATGAGTGAAAAGGCAATCAGAAAAGTGGGAGTAGAGGGAATTCAGACCAGAATCAAGATGACTAGCATTAACTACAACGAGGTAAAGAGATTTTTACTAGTTCATTGGTGAAGAGGAAGTAGAAATATTTACCAGAGTCCCACGTTACAGGTTTGCTACTATTATTAAATTAATTATGTGAGAATGTTTAATATAACTATTAGTCTTTCAGGTGTAGTGATAAATAGATTTCTGACCATTATTTTTAGGATTCTCTATGTAATTCACTTCTGGAACAAAGGTTGCTTTAACACCAACCTTTCTGTGTAGTTGTGTCCTGTGATACTGTCACTTGATTAATATAGATTATTATACACATATAATGAATAATTATTAAGATATTTTAGTATTAATATTTTCATTGTGCCAGCAAAAATACCATCAGCTTACACTTTTTGAGAAGATGTGAGTGCAACACTCAACAACAAACACCTACGGGTCTGCTCCTCTCTGTGAATTCTTACCTACTTAAACAAAGAGATCAGGAAATTAGAACAGAGTCAAGAATCAGCAGAACTCACAATCTATTCACTAGTACCATTTTTATCACCTACATGACCTTCCCAGACAATGAATGCTGAGTCCTGGTATCTACTTGCTCTTCCTGTCTTTATAGCTCAACTGCACTTAATACTCTGCTTTCCAGCAGAGAAGTCAGATTCTTTTTTTTCTTCCAGTCTATAAAACCATTCTTTTTCCAATGGCCTGATACGACAGTATCTTAACTATGGTACAAGCACCAGGAGAAATTGCAGACACCATCTGCCTGGGAGCAGTAGACTTGAATGTGGGCTGAGTAGACTTGAATGTGGGTTGAAGTGAGCACTTCAAGGATACGCCTAAGAACTTCCATGTGTTCAGTTTACTAGATTCCTTGATTGTAACACTGCCCAAGTGATTGGCGGCTGCCACTAGAGAAGATGAATAGCCTTCTCAACAGATTCTGTTTATTTCTCTGCATAAGTCTTAGAACAAAGCAAATGTACCTCATTCTCAATTCTAGTTACTTTTAAAGATCCAAATTAAAGGTGAGTTTCCTCATATACCCTTTTAAAGAAAGGGAGAGACACGATTCATTTTGATCAACCAAGGCAAACAGAATCTGGGTTTTAGGATCGTCATCACTCCATAAAATCTGAATGCCAATAGCACAAGATGCAACAAACAAGTAACATCGGGTTATGCCAATGCTATTTAGTACTGACAGTCAAATGCAGCTTTTATAGAGAGGTGGTATTGACCAAAAGTACACACAATTCAATGTTTGTCCTCATAGATGGCCAGAATTTACGACCATCTGTGTGACCTTTGAAGTGTCCTAGATTTTCGCAGTTTGGTATGTCCTAAGTATCTCATTTTCAACTACTGATGGATTCAGAAAGACAGGATAAATGCCTTCCTCACTAAAAGAAAGAGTTTCCTAGGGGAAACAATACTTACAATGTTTTCGACAATTTCCAGTTTCCTTGGTGTTACTAAAACGCGACCTTCTTCCCTGGATCTGGTAAAACCCAGGATTCGATAGCATGTCTTGGTAGAATGGCCAGAGAACTTAGGGAAGAAGCTTCTATTATATAAACTGACTTCAGCAAATACCATGGAGGTTGGTAACTCTAGAAAACGAGTCCACCGATGCACCACAACTGCATCACACCAAGGCCTCCAAGCTGCCTGTGTCTACTGTGGTGAGCTCTCTGCGCCATGTGAGAGGAGAGGGTCCCCCGCGCCACCACAGCCTCGGCTTACGGTAGCTGCATTGGGATTGCAGTACCTGTCACCAATCCTCAAATTCCAGGGGACATTCAATTTATGTTCATTGTGATAAACTTTTCCGTCGCTATTAAAGGCTACCAGCTCAACCACCTCACCAAATTTCTCTCTCTCTCTTTTTTAACTGACCAGAAGCCACACGTCTGCTCTAGCTTCTCCTGCGGCACTATTTTACTTGCACTGCATCTTCTGAGACAGAGACTTTCGAACATTTTTCACCAGGACCTTCGATAAGAAATACATTTTACACTGTTATCTAGAATCTGTATATATAAAACAGAAAAAAAGCTTTATGAAGTGCTTTTCCTTATTATTATTATGTGCTTTGTTTTCTTGTGTTGCATTGCTTTTCCCTTGTGTTTCCAATTAAAAAAAATTGTTGTGATCATATATTAATTCATAATCTAGTCTAATTCACTGTTCGAAAGACAAACAAAAAGAATATGCTATTGGGCAAGACACTAATAACACTCAGTTCTGATTTCATGTCTTTAAGTATCATCTTGGACTTATTTCTCAGGGAATGATTTTAATGCTATGAGTTAACCCAGAGTCAGAAAATAGGTACTTATTCAAATAAAGTTTAAAAAAGTGATACAATTCTTGGTGCAACTTCTCATAATGAGTAATAATTAATTTAAACATTTAGCTCATTCATATATTTAGATAGTGTGTGATGCTTTTACACCTTAGTTATGGGTTGCTTATTTTAAAACATCTTAGAAAATAGTTTTTTTGTACTTCTTGAATTTTTTTCATACTATAAATCCCCGTAATTTTTTAATCAAATAACCGATCAATTATCATTATTCAAAGTGCCATAAAACTTCAGGTCTATTAGTAATAGACCAGCTAATAATATGCATCTGAGGAGAAATTTTAGTGTGTGGAAGAGGAGGTAACTCAAACTCAAGTACCTTGGATACAAAGTCATGTCTTAATTAGACACATACCGACTGCTGACTTATAATATTCAAATTTGTTATA